GACAGTGCTGTGTAACAGTTTCCCAAAATTAAAACATTTCACCCTGCAGGAAGCTCCTTAAACAGGAAGGTAGACAACTAAAAATAGCTTCAGGAAGTCCCTGAAACTGACAGGATTCACTAGGCTCTGCCCTGCCACAGCAAGCAATAAAAATTGAGAGTGGTTCTCAGAAGAGTGAAGCCATGCCGGAAAGAAGAGTCTGAGACCAGCTGAGCCGCCTGGAAGAGAGTTAGACCAACTGAGGCACCCAGAAAGGACGCTCTCTAACATGCTGAGCTGCGTGCAGGCTGGGCAGTGTGCTCCAGGTTCCCAGCTTTGTGAGCTGCCACCCAGGCTGAGCTGGGCCATGGTGATGCAGCTGTCTTTGGTCATTCCTGCCCCTGTAAGCAACCCCAATAAAACTGATGGTTCACCACGTTGGACTTTGGTGGTCGTGGGATCCCTATCTGGGTTAAGCAGACGTGTGTTGTGTCTCCCCAGGAAAAGTTTTGTCACAGAACAGACAAATAGCACACAGCGGTGGAACAGCTCTGGGAACTGACAGGTGGCCATTAGGGTGGATCCCACTGAGAGAAGGACAGGTAGCCCAAGATGCAGTTGAGATGTTACTGAAGTTTGCAAGGGACAGGTGGTGACTCAGACTAGGGATCGGCAGTGAATGGAGTCTTAGCACATTTCGGTGGTGATGTGCTGAACAGGCCTTGCCATTGTGTTACCTGAGGAGAGGAGGGTGGAGGGATGGGCTGGAAACCTCTCTAGTTTGTGGTTGGGCAACTGGTGGAGAAAGGAAGCTGTTTGCTGAGGAGCGCTATCTGGGAGACTGCAAGCACAGGTGAGGAGACCCAAATGCCCGGGGTAACTGAGGGGCCCCCAGGGGAAGTGCTGGGAAAGCAGCAGGTAACCAGAGCTAGACTGGAGGTGGGACCAGGGTCTCCAGCAGCAGTCTTCACTGCCTGTGGTTTGCATTTTTGATTCTCCTGGCGACTCCCACAATGCATTTAGGCCTCAGCTTTACTGCCTGCCTCCTCTGGAAGGCCTGCTCATCCCACTGTGAAATGCCGTGATTTAGATTCTCCACCAGCCTCTCTGTCCAAATGTTTTCCTCAAAGTTCTTTTGATGGCTTGATATTTAGCAATTTATTGGGCTCAAGCGGTGGTTCAGTTGCATAAGGACCTGAGCTTAAGTCTCTAATGCCCACATGAAAAGCTGGGTACAGCAAATAGCCCATGCCTTTACAAACCAGCACTGGGGAGGCGAAGACTGAGGCTCACTGGGCACCCAGTCTAGCGCGTCCATAAGCTCCAAGTTCAGTGAGAAACTTTGTCTCAAGAAATAAAATAGGGGTTGGGACTTGAAATGACTCAGCAGGTTAAAAGTGCTCTCTGTGTACGCCTGGCAACCTCAGTTTGATTCCAAGAACCCAAGGTGGAAGGGGAGCCCCGATTCCGGGGAGTTACCCTCTGAAGCCCACATAAGCGCTGTGGTTCGTGCACACCCAGACTGGCACACATCCTATGTGTACACAAAAATTAACTTAAATTCTAAAAAGGAGACGGGGCTGAGGAGGTGGCTCCGTTAGGTGCCTGCTGGGAGAACGGGGACACCTGGGTTCAGATCCCTACTGCCCTGTTGTAACTCTAGAGCCTGCAGAATGGCAGGTCCCAAGAACTCATCGGCCTGCCAGGCTAAGCAGTTAATGAGCTCTGGGTTTGGGGAGAGAGCTGCCTGAAAAATAAAGCAGAGATAAACGAGGGACACTCACCTCTGGCTTCTCAATGTCTGTGCACACATGTATACTCACACATGCACAAAAACTGCTTGAAAAGTAGAGGAAGAAGTAACTGAGAAGGACGCCTGATTCCAGCCCCTGGCCTCTGCACACACGTGCACACAAACTCTATGTCCACACGGATCCCCAAATGCATGGGTGCACACACACACACACACACATACACACCAGCAAACCTTTATGCTTGCTTGTTCTTTAGTGCTTAATCTCAGCCACACTGGGCTGTGACAGGAAAAAGAAATGACTTATTTTTTCGTATAGTGAAATCATGTAGGTTCTGCATTTTAAGGAGAAAAGGAAACCTATAGCTGTTACAGATAAACTTCTATACTTCCCCCAGCAAATAGAAGAGGAGTTTCCAAGAACAGCCCAGGAGCTCAGCAGGGTGTTGAAGACACTAGGGGAGGCAGGAGGCAAGAGCCTTTCACCCCAGCTGTGTCGCTCTCAGAGTCCGTGGAGACGTCACAGCTGTGCACATGAAGACTAGACTTTCTGGATTTATAGCAGGAAGCAAGGGGTCTTTTGCCAGAGCAGCTTAAGTGGAGCAGTGCAGATGCAGGGCCAGTTGCAATGACTGACAAAGACTGCAAGGTAGGAATGCGGGATAATGTGAGGAAAATTGTCTCAAGATCCTTTGCTGCTGGAGAGAGAGCTAGGACGGCAGCGGGCAGGGTCCCTGGGGCCAAAGCGGGTGTCCCTAGAACTGTGTAATACCTTCTAATGTGTCTCTGTGTATGTGGGGGCAATGCAATGAAGGCACAGACTGGGAAGAGAAAGCAGAATCAGGGGTGAATCCGGGAGATCAGGAAGGCTGGGAATGTAGCTCCGAGTACCTGCCCAGCATACCTGGAGCACAGGATTTGATCCCCAGAGCCACATAATGACCAGTGCAGTGCCACAAGACTGTAATCCTACCACTTGGGAGGTGGAGGCGGGAAGGCCAGAAGTTCAAGGTCGCCCTCCAGTGAGAGGCTACAGAGAACCCAGCATGGTGGTGCACACTGTTGGTCCCAGCACCTGGGAGGGAGAATTTGTGGACAGGACTGCATAGCGCGCATAGTGAGACCTAATTAGTTAATGAAAAGTATAAAGGGGTGAGAAAGGTAATGCGTGGATGGGTGCGGCGTTCGCAGGGTGGGGGAGAGCGTCCAGGGCCGCCTGTGCAGCCTCCAGCTGTACAGAATCCAGTGGAGCTGGGAGACCCCAGGACACTAAGGAAATGCTAGTTGCTCCTCATGCAGCGAAGCCATGCCTCCAGCCAAGCGGCTTGTCTGGCTGCAGCTAGCCCCTGGCTCTGTTTGAGAGGAAGGAAGGGTGGTGTGGGTGAGCAGTGGGAGGGCAGCCTGGAACTACCGCAGGGGTCCAGGGATGCCTGGGAAGAAAATGCAGAGACATGCCGCCCTCCTTTCCACTGTCTCTCTCAACAAGGTGGCTCACAACCAATGCGCGTGGTGTGAGGTAACTCATTTTCTCTTACCGCTTTCCCCAGCTTTGCTGCTCTGAACGACAGCTCTGCTCCGCCTGGGCGAGCCTGCATCCCTGTCCACAGCTCTGCTGCGGGCGGATGGATGGACAGGGCACGCTGGAGCTCTGCGTGCCAAAGTAGGGGGCAGCAGGCGGCTGGGGAAACCTTGTAGGAGGCCCAGGCTAGACCTTAGAGCAACACAGGGAGCAGAGTCCATGCCTGGAACTGCCAAAGCCAGAGGAAGAGCAGCTCAGGACGCCGGTGCCGGGTGTGGATGTGCATGTGCGCGCCCACTTCAGCATCCCAAGGGGCTCGAGAATTGGTGAACTTCGGTGAACATGAATCTTTTATTACCTCTTCCTCCTCGAGTACTTCTTTTCATTCTTCCACCGTAGCCTTCCCCTCTCCTAAGTACTTTCAAACTATAGCAGGCAAATGAGGATTTGTGAAATAGCTCAGAGGTGAAGGAGACTGTGCGTGAGTGGACCTGATGACTGGCCTGAGAGCCCCAGGGCCCACCCACGTGGTGAAAGGAGAGCATGAACTTTCTCCTGAAAGTTGTTCCTTCTTTCCTCCCTTCCCCTCTCCCCTTTCCCCTTCCCAACCCAATCTCTGACGAAGAATTCACTGAGGCACACTGTTAAAATTAGAAGTCTGGATTGAAGATGGGATGGTCTGACAGCCAGCACTGGCTTCCTGACTCTAATAGACGAGGCTGATGCTCCAGGCTTTCTCGCCCACTCTGAGCAGCAAAGTTTCGGAAGATTCAACAATGTAGAGACTGTGTTTTCCTGGTAAACACTTGTATGCTCCTACGCACCCACCCTTCCCACTGATGGGAGTCACGCGTACAGAAAGCCACCAGGACCACACACCCATTACAAGTTTGATTATCTGGTTGATTTGGAGATTTTTAAATTTTAAATTAATTTTTGTTTTTATCAAGTTGTTATCCCATCCCTCATCCCTAACCCACCCCAGGGGATCTCAGACCTTAAAGGACTTCATAGATGGCAAAGATTCCCTCGGGATCCGATTCAGTTGGCTTGGGAATGGGTGTAAGATCCCCCAGGCAATACTGCCTCAGTTAGGCTCATTGAATGGACCTGAAAGCCTTAAACAGAAATATTGGCGTGGCTTAGGGAATCTGTGTATTGCAGTTTGGAAGTGGGATGGCTTGAAAGGACGAAGCTGTGAAGGAGGGGAGTTCCACAGCGAAGCTGGTTGCTTGTAATCAGGGAACTCCACCAAGCATTCCCTCACAATGGTGTGCAAGTTACTCGACCACATGTGTAACCCATTGGTCCTCCCTTCCTGATGAGCTGTGGCTCCCCAGGGATCTGGCAGTTATTTGTCCAGCAGTGGTGATGGATTTGAGCCTGCTGATCAGGAACTTCCGGGAGACAAAGCACACGTGCTGCTTCTCTCTCTCTCTCTCTCTCTCTCTCTCTCGTGTGTGTGTGTGTATGTGTGTGTGTGTGTGTGTGTGTGTGTGCATGTTTCTGTGCAGCTGGGTCTTTCAGATCTCTCCAACTGCAGCACCCTGAGCATGTCCCCTTCGTGTGGAATCTTATTCCACTGTCAGGGCTATGGTCAAATTAACGTTCTAGTAGGTGGGAAAATGGAGCTCAGGTATTGTTAAGATTTTTAACACCTTCAGAGTGGTCTGAAAGACCAATGTATCCTATGTAGGATGTCTTAGCCACTGTTCTATTGCTGTGAAGGGACACCATGACAGGGCACTCTTACAAAAGAAAGCCTTTAATTGGGGGCTTGCTTATGGTTTTAGAAGTTCAGTCCGTTATCATCATGGCGGGGAGCACGGCTGCAGGCATGGTAAGCGTGGTGCTGGAGACAAGGTCGAGACCTACCGCCAGATCTGCAGGCAGAGGGAGAGGGAGAGGGAGAGGGGCTGGGCATGATATAGGATTTTGAAACCTCAAAGCCCACCCCCTCCCTCCACACACTTCCTCCAACAAGGCCACACCTCCTAACCCTATCACAGCGTTCCACTCTTTGGTGATGAAGCATTCAAATATAGGCGCCTCTGGGGTGTTCTTACTCAAGCCACGGCATAGGACAAAGACACTGAGGCCTTTCAGCCCACAGTGGTCCCTTTCCACTTGGTCATTACCTGCAGCCCTAGGACTGCTCTAGCCTGGTCACTTGAGTCAGAGCTGCTTCTCTATACTCTCTGACGAGGCTGGAACTATCATGGCTAAGATCCAGCCTCCTGTTACCAGCTTGAGGGAGCAAAAGCCCTCACTCCAGGGTCCTGTAGAGGCTAAAGAGATAGGTAGTGGTGAAATACGGAAGAAGGTAAGGGGCCTCACAGAGGAGAAACTTATTCACCCTGACTTTTGTACCGGAAGCTGGAGTTACACATAGGCTATGGAAATGAGTTGACCTCCGAGCCCCTGAAAGAGCCTGCTGGCTTCCTAATGGAGCCCTGTTATGAAATTATTCCTTTCTCCCCTGGCGTTACGGCTCTGAATCTGTCGCTGTTATGCGTGTGTGTGTGTGCACGCACGCGTGTGTGTTGGAGCGATGCTCTGTGCACTGTGTAAGGCTGTCTTTGTGTATTCAAATGCTGATTTCTGCACCGGCAGAGAGCTGAGGACAGACGGCATCACCTGTCTCCTGTTTTGTAGACATCGTTTTCCGTCACCTTCTGACTGCTTAAATAAAGAACTGAATGGCCAATAGCAAAGGCAGGAAAGTGAGGCAGGACTTTAAAAGCCAGAATTTCTAGAAGTGAGGTATAAGGTTGTTGTAGAAAGGGGGCTATTAATATTTACCATTATTCCATAGGATCACTACAATGGTTATTATTTAACCCACTATCATATCAATAAAAATACACAGACACTTGTTAGATTTTTAATAGCCTTAAACCACCAGAAAAAGGCAGATTTAATCCCTAAGCTACCTTGTTATTTCCCAGCCCAAACCTCCACGTCATTTGCCTTAATCACTCCTACCTGGACTACTTCCCTTCCAAAATTCTCATGAATATTTGCACATGTTTTTCATCCGGCCTCTTCTCTCCATATTCCAATCCTGAGAGCAAGCTCCTCCCAGCCACATGGCTCTTCTTTACTGTAGCCCATGGTGTTCCTCGTTCCTCTTTCTCCTCTGCCGTCTCTCTTCCTCTCCTCCCTCCCATGATCCTCTGTCCTCCACCCTTAGCTCCGCCTTTTGCCCTGCCCAGATGCAGGCATTTTTATTGCCCATTCAGGGAATATTTGGAGGCATGCTTTCAAGCATGGTTATGTGACAGTTGGCTCATAGAACAGTAAAAATCTTGGGGGGCAAGCAATTAACATCTGAATACACGTGGCTCCAGATCAACCACCACAAAGGGACCTTTGCATTTTAAAAGGCAGCCTCACTCAGCCACTCTTGAGACCCACCGCTCCTAGTCAGTCACCCTCCACCTGCATGCTCTTCAGTCTTCCCCCATTAGGCTGCTCTGCCTGTGGCCACTCCCCTGCCCAGCCTGCCTTTGTCTGCTTTCATTGCTGTCCTATATCGCCTTGGTGTTCAGCATTTGTTTGACCCCTCAGAGCAACCTGGGTGCTCTTTCTTTCCTATGGGTTCTGACTGGTTATATCTTCCTGTACTCTGACCTTTGACTCTGCATTTTCCCTGACTTGGCTTTAGTCTTTCCCTGTCCTCCAAGGCTAGCTGCCAGCTTAGACTCAGTGTTCCAGAGCAAGTTTGCAGACCTTCTGAAAATATTTGCTGAGTGTCTCCAAGGTGCCAGGCATGGTGCTGGGCATGGGAAAATCTGTCTTCTTGTATGTAGGGTGCAACCATCGATGTACAATTGCTACAATGTGATGCCCTGGGAACCAGAGGGCGCAGAGTCCTGGCATCTATCAGACAAAAAAAAAAAAAAAAAAAACCTTCCAGGGAGGGAAGATAACGTCCAAAATATGGTGGGAGATACCTAGCCCAAGTTGGAGGGGATTCTGGGGAGTGGATTATGGAAAAACCATGGGAAATGAAAGGCCTGCATTACAGGGGAGGACAAGCTATGATAGGGACCAAGGGCTTGGTGGCTGTAACAGAAGTGGGGGATGTGGGAGACTTTGTAGACATTCTGAACTTATATGGAGCCACTCCCCAGCCAAGGCACAGCAGTACCACCCTGGTGTGGCAGAGACCAGGCAACTACTATGCTTGGGTATATCGTGTTGTCCTGGCTACTCATGCAGCAAAATAGACCGTGACTGTTCCCACTTCCTACTTCTGTTTCTGGCTTCCCACGTCCCCCTCCCACCTAGAGAATGGGTGACCCCACCAAGCAAGAGGAAGATGTGGGCACCAAGGAGGCACGTGAATCAATAGCTTAACGCCTGTCTTGTAAAAGCTAAGGGAAAAGGTGCTGTGTCTACAAACACCACGCTTGGGTGCTTCATACAAAGACAGCCCAGTTACCTTCTATGCCCAAAGAAATCTTTCTGTTGCTATAACTGAATATCAAAGACTGGTAATTTATAAGGAATAAAGCTTATCCAGCTCATAGTCCTGGAAATGAGGAGGGCCCAAGGTCCAAGACTTACAATTGGAGAAGAAGTTTCTGTTCTGCTGACAGAAACTGCAGAACCCAGCAAAGCACAGGCTGTCACAGGTGTGTGTGTGTGTGTGTGTGTGTGTGTGTGTGTACATTCCCCAGAGCACAATAGCCATCACCATCTTCATTAGAAGCAGCTGTGTCTACTTGCAAGCACCCCTCAAAATCACACTTATAGGTGGTGACCCGAGAAGGGGGGGAGGGTCAGACCCTGCTCCTTAACCCTCCCTCCCGGCGGACTCCCTTTGGCTGCAGGGAGGAAGTAGAATGCTAACTGAAGAAGAGGCTCTACCTCTGCAGTTATGGAGAGGTCATATCCGTGCTGGGTGGGATTTTTCGGTAGTGTGGCTGCTTTGGGTGACCCACGCTGAGTAAGTCAGTCTAGGAAACTCATTGCTTCGAGCCAGATCAGGGTAGAATTTTACTTTGGTCTGTCGCTGTTGCCCTCTCTGGGACAAGCAGATATTTGTTCTTATTTCTCTAGGGAAGGTTCTCACAACAGTGCATGAAAGCCAGGTCAGATTGCTATTACAGCAGATTCACTACTGAGAGAACCAATTAATTCGTGAATGGATGGAGATATTTAATGCTATTTGTGAGAGTCGCCTTTTTGAGTCTTAGTCAATTTGAAAGGCCCCACCTTCTGGTACTTCGTAATGTGGATTAAATCTCAACGTGAGTTTTGTAGAGATAGTCCTCTACCTTGGGCCTCTACTTTGAAAATCATTATTCATTACTAGAATGGTACATGCCCCTTGGGTCATGAGGAAGTCTTAGGGAATCTTAGCAGAAGAGAACTTTCTCGGAAGCTCCCGAGCCATCAGCACAACAGGCCACCCACTTATGTGTTCTGTGTCCCACACTGGTGAAGCTGCTCTTCAGCTCTCTGCTGGGACTCCTGGTGTGTGCTGTGGAAGACCCAGTTCTTAACCACTTCTTCTGGTAAGAAGCTGGTACCCAAGCTTCTCAGAAACATCTGCAAAGTAGCCAGGATGATCCTACTTGGAGGCTCCAGAAACTTCTGAAGCCCACCTACCATTCTCTTCCCGGGCTGGGACCATTCTCTTTGTCTGGGAGTTGAATGAGACTGTTAGCCTCTACCCCTCCAAATACTGACTGCTCTCCCTTTAATGGGGTCGTTTTGTTTCTTTCACCTTTCTCTTCAGCATAATTTTTAGCTAGGACGCATCATTTGTCACAATCTAGGGTGTCTTTGGTTATATCTTTATTTTGAGAGTCATGATCACCCTTCGACTTCCATTCAGTCTGACACCAAATGAAGATCTAAGACCACAGGACAGAATTAGCTCAGGGTCACTGAGACAGAGGCCAGTCTTCTGTCTCTGTCTTAATGTATTTATTGGTTTCCTGATTCCTTCAAGATGTCAGGGTGTCTGATTTCACTGCGGTTCTCTCTGAACTGTCCTCTGCTGACCCTTCTCTGTTAGAAAACCTTCCTAACTCACACGTTAGTTTGCCCACCTGGGATAGAGGGGAGAGCGAATCTGTAAGAGTTTGATCCCCCCCAAGAACGAAAGTTGTTTGCCTGGAGTTTTTCTGTGCAGGCAGCCAGCAATAGAACCCTGTGGACTGTATATAAATTGTCTGACTTTCTCACTTTCTACCGTTTTCTTACTCAGCGGGAGCTGGCTAAGCACTGAGCACAGTTGCTGGCTGGGATCACAGCTTTGCAAATTATTTCTAACAAGCATGCAATTTTTCTAAAAGGGGTCAAACAGGGTCAGCACAATGGGCATTTGTCTGATAGTGTCCAGAGCTTATGGACATTTTTTTGTTGATGAAGAAAAAGAAGAAATGGGGGTAACAAGCTGTGGTCTGCAGCCCAGAGAAACTCTGCTGTTGGCTACGGCCATAGATGTGTCTAAATTTTATCATCCATGAAAGAAGTAACGAAAAAATTTATGCAGACTTGACTTAATCCGTTCATATGTTCATTATTTATGACATTGTTGTTAAACATTTGAAAAACAACTGAGTCATAATGCACCTATGAGGTAGAGGGAGCCAGCCCTTGCTGAACCTCAATAAACAGCAAGCCCAAAAGAAGGACGAGGACTTCCCAGGCAGCCATGGTCAGCCATAGGGGGGCAAGCACCATCTTTCTGTCACTTCCTCAAGCTCTGATTAATGAGGAAACTAGATTCTGAGGAAACCAGGGAGATCTTTGGTTAAAAACAATAAACACTCGTGTGAGCCCTTCAGTCATCCCAGTTAAGAACTCCTAGAATATGAAAAAAATATGACCAGATGTTTGTAATACATAAGTAATCATGAAAGCAAGCAAAAGGAACTGCTGAATGTCAGAAGAAAAGGGAAAGCTTGGAAGTAAGTAAAACTCATGCTGTGCTGAAGCGAAGGTGTAAACAGAGCCGGGTATGGTGGTTCCTGCCTGTAATCCCAGCATTTTGGATGCTGAGGCAAGGGAATCGCCTCAAGGAAGAGCCTGGGAAAGAGTGAGATCCAGGCTAGCCTGGGCTGACCAGTGACCCAATCTCAAAAATCAAATCTAAACACACATTATCTGTAAAAGGCTGATGCCCAAACTATGATACCAGTGTTGAATACTTGCCTCAAACTTGATGTAAAAAGAAATTCCAGTCAGCTTACTCAGTTCATAGCAATTGTATCTATGAATTCAAATCAATTGATGATTGAAAATACCTGAAAAAAATAATTTGATTTTTGACATGTACTGTGTAGTAGGTCTAAGATGGTTATGTCTGTTTTGAACATGTACAGAAACATTTTCCTTGTCACTGTTCCCTATGTGGAAGGAAAAGGGTTTAGAAGTAAAGTCATAGAGTGAGAAAAGTTTACACGTAAGAGCACACACGGGTTTGTAAGGAAAGGATGGAGCTGGGGCAACTAGCTGACCACACCACGGGGAGATGAACTGGATCCCTGCCACATGTGTGCCCAAACCCCTGATTCTAGGTAAATTACGGTTTTAATGTTAAAAATGGGAAAAAAGCTGGGCACGGTGGCACATGCTTTTAATTCCAGGACTTGGGAGGCAGAGGCAGGCAGATCTCTGTGAGATTGAGGCCAGCCTGCTCTACAGAGCGAGTCTAGAACAGACTACACAGAGAAACCTTGTCTCGAAAAACAAAACAAAAGGAAAAATGGAAAAAAACACAATTTTATTTAAAATATAGAATATTTTTGACAATGGAATACAGAATTGTCATAAATAACAAAATACTAAGAAGTAACTTTTACGTGAAAATTTTAGCTGCTCACTTTGTCATTACATTTTTGATTAGCATACAAAATAATGGCATTCACTATGACATTTTCATGAATATGTATCAGGTACTTCACTCATGTTTACCCCATAATCTCCCTTTCCTCCTCCCATCTCCCTCCACCGATCCCCTTCTCTTTTAAATAGTCCCCCTCCTACTCTCATGTCATATGCATATTTTAAAAATCTTTATCGTATACATGAGAACAAATATTCAATACTTACTTTTCTAACTTTGGCTTGTTTTGCCTAACATTATGTCCAGTTCCATCCAAAATTATGCAAATGACTTAATTTTGTT